GCGCAAACACCCTCATCGGCCACCCAAAGGAAAGGACGCCATCGTCCTCAAAGCAAGGTTCAACCTCAGTGACCTCATCGGCCTAAACGTAAAACTTCAACCATCGACGTCCAAGAAAGGAAAAGCATGCCTTCAACGGCCACCATTGAAGCAGGACACTTATCGTCCCCAAATGAACGCATCAAGGAAACAACGGCCTCCCCGCCCACAGTGAGGAGCAGGTAACGGCCAAGGCACAGAACAGGATCACCAAGATGGAAACAGCACCAACGCCGCAACAGCAGACGGCCTGGGAATGCCCGCGACGGCCAAAAGCGCTAAAGCACAGGAATCTACTCTCCTTCACTTCGTCTACGTCTCAGCTTAGAGAGTGGGGGACTCCTGATGGAGTATATGGGTCTGAGCCCCCGGACCCACATACTCGGAAGAACAGAAAGCACAAGACACAGAGTGGCGCCCTCGTCGGCCAAGACGCCCCCGTCGGCCGAAAAGGTGCCAACTCAGAATATGGTCCTGAAGCCAAGGAACCCGGGTGCCCTCGTCGGCCGTGCCCTCTTCGGCCGTGCCCTCGTCGGCCACGCCCTCGTCGGCCACGAAGACTCCACAGAACCGGATTCTACACTTACCCATTTGTACAGCCCATTAGTGGCTTTGTATTCGGCCCAGTAGCGGTCCAGTTGTAAATGGGCCTCCCAAGCCCAAGGCTTGGGAGCCCAGCCCGTATTTCCTCTATAAATACTCCCCTTGGGAGTAGTTGTAGGGGTTCAGAATTCATTAATACCAAACAAATATACTACTTCTCTCTCTAGCTCTCACTTCTCTCTAGAGATATACTCTATCAAGTCACATTATCTCTATCATACTTAATAGCAGATTTTACATCACCAAAGGAATCAGGAATAGCATTTAAAAGAGCAATAGGGGAATAATCATCTATATGCTTATCACCACACAACTTAATATCAGAAATAAGTTTGGTAAAGACATCAAGATTTTCCTCAATATCCTTAGACATATCTAGTCTAAATTGGAAGAACTTCTCAAGTAAAAACATCCGGCTAGGCAGAGAGGTTTCAGTATACAGTTCATCTAATTTATTTCACATAATTTTAGCACTCTCTAAAATTCCAACTTTTCTAATCACAGAATCAGATAAGTTCAAATAAATCACAGAACAAGCATTTTCATTCATTTCAGCCCTTTTATCTTCTGTGTCAGAAATCAAATAAGTTTCGCCAACTGCGTTAAAACATTTTTGTTGGATTAAAATACATTTAATTTTTTGCTTCCAAATGCTAAAATCATATTTTCCATTAAATGGAGCCATACCATACTGATTATAAGCAGACATTTTCACAAAGAAAAACAAGCAACAAAAGAAAATGTAAATTTTGCTGAAAACAATTTAAATATTTATTAGGCTACAAATATACGAAGCAACTAGCATGAACACACGGGGAGTATTAATGAGCACCAAACTCAATTTCAAACCCCTTGTTCTTCCGTATAAGCACAAATAAATAATAAATTTTCAACACAAAACAGCACAACAATTCAATCAATTTTAACAGCAGTAATAAACCAAAAAAACGGATTTCTACACAATAAAAGACTAAATCACTACAAAAGCGATAAAAGCGAGTTTCGAGTTAATATACCGGAGCGAAACCCTAAGAGAGGCGTTTCGACCTTACCCACCCAATTAAAATTGGGATTTTCAGACTGATGACTGACTTTGACCTGCGTTGACCAGCAGTTGACCTGTGTTGACCGGCGGTCCAGCTGCTCCAGCAGCCCAACAGCAGCTTCAGCCCAGTAGTCCAACAGCAACCCAGCAGCTCCAGCACTCCAAAACACACCAGTCCAGGTCCAGCAGCTCTTCCAGCAGATCCAGGAGCTCCAGGTCCAGCTCCTGCTTATAGGTCCAGTCCAAAGCTTCCTGCCAACTCCAGCAATTGAGCAGCCAAGCCACCTAATAGACCAGTTCCAGCAACCCGTCAAGGTGTGTCAAGCCTCCAGGTCCAGCCCAGCTCGTATGTCAAGCTTCGTTCCAGCTATTTGCGCAGGTCAAGTCTTCTTCTTCAGCAAGAATTAGGGAAGCAGTACTCTTCGTCCCTGCGGCTACAGCATTTCTGCGAACCACAAAAATCGCAGGTGACCTTCGCAACTGATGACCCGCGACTCCAGCGTCGAATTCCGGAGAGCAATGGCGAGGCTTCAACTTCCGACGAGTTTGGCAGCGTCTAGCGATTTGCGCAGGTCCAGGCCAACAACCAGATCCAGCTTCGCAGCAACGGTGGCCTGCAATGACGACGGTAGGCTGCTCCAGCGACAAACAAATCGGCGAGCAACTCCCTGCGGCGGTGAGCTTCCAGGAGACGGCTGAACTTCCAGGGGTGGAGGCTTCAGCTTCCGATGAGCTCGATTTCAACAAGCAGGGACCACGATGGAAGACCAGTGAGCTCGTGCGAACGACTAGGCAACTTCAGGGACCTGCAGCGAGCTCCAACCTGGCATACGGCGACGGACAGCGGCGGACGGCGGCAGAGCGTTCCAGATGGCAGAATCCGGCAAAACTGACGATGATGACAACCCTTGTCTCTGATACCACTGTTGGATCGTATTCCGTCTTTTCCGGCTCAGGTCTCCAACCTCCGTGGCTCACACACACCACTATAGGTAGACCTCTCCACTCACCAAGCTTTTTCTCCTACCACTAAGAAACTTCTCTACACTCTCACAGAAAGGAAGGAGAAGGGGTAGAGCACTGCTCTGGAATTTCTCACGCAGGCTACACTCACAGGAAGAAGCCAAGGCCTCTAAATAATAGGCAACGGCCAGAAGGAAGTCACGGGTGAGTGCAAAGACAAAAGGCTCACGGGCAGCATAGACAAAGAATGCAGCGGACAACAACTGAGGGGGCCAGCCAGTGGGTAAGTCAACACCAAGAGGATAGTCAAAAATAGGTATATCAAAGTGGGAGTAAACATGGGATGTAAGTCAATAATAAGATGGAAGGGAGGCCTTGGTAGGACCAATACCTCCAACAGCATCAAATTCTACACGAATTCGGAGTGAAATCAGAAACATTTGTGAATTTATGGTTAATCTGTAACTTTTAATTAATGCATTGTAAATGAAGTTGGAACAATACCTTTAGAGATCCAAATTATCTTTCCAACGAGATATAATACGCTCAAAACGGAAGAACACACATCAAGATATGAGTGTCACAAATACTTAGCCTTATCTCTATGATTTAGCGTTTTCAGCGTAAATAGAGCACTTTTAGCGTAAATACAGTGTAATTTAGTAATTAGGCAATCATCCATTGATGTCTTTCATTTGGAAGGCTTACATCCCTCCAAAATTCTCATTTATAATGTGGCTCGCATTCCGGAATAGGCTGCCAACGTATGATAAATGGTATATCTTGATGTTGCTAATGTTTGTCCATTTTGTAAGGGTGAACCGGAGACGGTACCACACCTATATTTTGATTGTAAATGTACAGAGCAGCTTTGGAATAATGTCAAGGATTGGCTAGGCATTTCAAGACAAATGTCATCCTTGAAGAACGTTGTAAAGTGGATCCAAAGGGAGTGCAAAGGAGCGCACATTAGAGCCAAGGCAACAAGAATAGCTTTTAGCTACACTATATATTGGATATGGCGAACTCGCAATGCAAGAGATGGTGCGGCCTTAAAGTTGGAAGAGATGTTTACACATATCAAGTATATGGTGTACAAAATGCTCTATTCTCTCTATCCATACCATATGATTAAATTTTGAAACTTTTGTCACAGCTTGATGACTGACTGTTTTGCTATGGTTTTTTTTGCTAGATCTTTAATCTAGAGGTTATGCTAATATAGCACTTGATGTATAGGATATCCACACTTGGATATGCCTCTAATTTTGCCATGATGTACATAACTTTTGGTTACTATATATATATATTTACATTTCACCAAAAAAAATTGAAACCAGAGCCTGAAGACAAGTTTTAGAACTCGGTAAGATCTTTCCAACAAGATATTAAACGCTTTCAACGGAACAAAATAGAGCAAAATATGATCGCATCAAATTCTATACGAGTTCGGAGTGAAATCAGAAACATTTGTGAATTTATGGTTAATCTGTAACTTTTAATTAATGCATTGTAAATGAAGTGTAGATTACATCCACCAAATTTCAGCTTAAAATACAATCGGGAAGTGAGTTAAATAAAATATTGAAAATCATTGTGTTTTTTATATGTATTTTGACGTAGTGTTTTTCAATAATTTATTTAACTAACTTCCCACCCAATTGCATTTAAGCTCAAATTTAGTGGACATAATCTACATTTCATTGAAAACAAGCTCACAAAATTTCATCGAAAAATTCCACCTAGAAGCACCTCAAATGAAGATTACTCATGCAATGTATAAGAAGTTCGGTTTATGTATAGGAACCGGAACCGAAATGGAACCGAACCGGAACCGAACCGATCATATACTATAGGAACCGAACCGAAAAAAGATGAAGTCCAAAGTTATACGAACCGAACTGAACCGGAAAATTCGGTTCGGATCGGATCGGTTTTCCCGGTTTTATGGTTCCAAGTCCCGAGCCTAAAATAAACCAAAATTGTGTGAAAACTTACCGTAGAAAACGTACCGCAGAAAGCTTCAATCCAATAGAAATCGAATGAAGACGATACAAGAGTGATGTCGTAAAAATCAATGGGTTGATGCCTCTGATGTAAGAGAAGAGTGAAAATATGAATGAGAAAGAGATGTAGTTACCATGTAGGAGTCTGCTATTTCAGTAGGAAATGATGTTAATGAGGAAGGAGAATAGAACTATATTTTAGGAGTGTTTTGCACGTACTTTCCTAGACTCCAAGCAACTAAAATAAATTCTTAATTAATTCAAGTCACATTTATGGAAATAAAGAAAGGAGTCATATTTTTTGAAATACAAACATCAATAGTAATATTGGGGCCATTTATTCTTAATTTTTTAGGGAAAATATGTTTTATTATTTTGAACTAGGGACTTGGGGAGTAATTTATTTTTAAAATAAGCTCCTTTGGCCCCTTGAAAAACCCAGGACAGGCTGTGACAATGTCTCTATCCAGTTTCCATGCTTCTCACATCACTCGTCTTCTTTTATTGCCGTTTTTGGGTTTCTCTCCGCCGTTTGTTGACTGCTTCTCTGCATAGGAAACAATTAATTGCAGGTTTTTTCTCCGTTTCAACCCTATCTTCTTCAGGTCTATTATTTTTATTAAACTTAGGCTCTGTATTTTTTTTCTCGGTACATAGGTTTCTGTATATGTACGGAGTATATTGGATTCAAATGGATTATTGGTTTTAATTTCAAATAGGGCAACTGGTTTCTGTTTTTACTGATATGATTAATTTTTGTGTTCGCTGGAATGGTCCCCGCTAAAGTTATTGTCATCTGATAACAACAACTAACAGCCCCGAGAGAATTTCATATTCATATTCATAAGTTGCAGAAAGAAATAGCTTGCAGCTAATGCCTTAAGAACCTTTTTTATTGAAACCCTGTTGTTCTGTTGTGCGTATTTATGACAGGAATTGCTTTTAGCAGAGATGGGCTCAAACAGTTTATCCTCTGTATTTTTTTCTATGAAAAATGAACCAAACAGAAGATGTCGTTTTCCCAACATTTAGCCAAACACTGATCTCCAGAAAATGAGTTACTTTTTAGAAAGCAATTTTCTTTCTTTCCAAACGAACCTAGCATGTACAAAAGGCATTCTTCTTTTTTCCTGCCGCATCGCCTGTACTTGTCTTCTTGTTTACACCACATATATGTTATACGTAGTATTTCTGTATTTGTTATTATCATTATAGAATCTCCAATGGGCTCGGATGCGTCAAATGTTGGAAACATCACTGGACCAGATTACTTCAGCTTCTATAAATGTGAGATAGCAGAATTACTATCTCAAGATGAAGATTTTCTGCCTTCATCACTTCAAACTTCTGTCTCTTCTGATAATCTCAATGGAAACATGGCTACTGCAAAAAAGTGCAACACTGCAAGTTCTTCATCCTTATTTTCTGATTGCATTGGACCTGAAGTCTCTGAGACAAAAATTGAAAAGTTGAAATCTTTGCTTCGCCAAAGTGTTTTTTCCCTTTCACAGGATGTTGATGAGGTATGGTCGTTCTTTCTACCTTTTTGCCTATCTCCCTTCTCATATGTTTTATGAAGCCCCTCCTTGCCAATCCACTAGTTCTCTTTTTTACTTGTATATTACTCGAATCTGTTTACCACTATGCACACTGATGAGTGATACCACATGAGATGTCCACAAGATTCAAGTATAGTTTAGTAATCCCTGTGTCAGTATTAATAATTTACATTTGCTTATTTAGAACTACATTAGGAGTTGTATTGAATCGCAAGAAACAAATTGAAATATGATAAAAAGTAGTTATGTAAATTTAGAGATTAAAACAGATTTAAGTTGACTGTGTGAATAGGAGAACCTTGAACTTACTCTGAGCGAGTATAAAAGTTTGAGGTAAACCTTACCTCTAGAATATCCTTTTAAGGCGAAATAAGATCAATCTAACATAATATAGGTTTGGTGGTGGTTTGCGGTGTACCGGCCCACTTGATGGTTTGGGACAACCCATTCGGGGTTTGGTTTGTTTCAATTTTCCAACGCTCAAGCTGTCCAATCCGGTTAGACTGAGGGGTGTGTTGAGTATCTTACATTCTTACCTCAGTTGTCTACTAGGTTTGAGTCTAGTATATAAGTTTGGGGTAAACTTCACATCTAAAAAATTCCTATGGAGTGTGCTAGGCCCAATTGAAGACACGATGATTTCAATTTGGAGCTCATCTGTTTCGGTTCGTACTTTATTATTGCAGATGGTTGATCCTGTTTTAAAATTGTGTGAGTTAAAGTCGGTTCTTCTGGGCTTCTCAGATAGCCTTCGAAGTATTTCTGCTGTTGATGCACCTGGAGCTGATCAAGGGAATCCTTGTAAGAAGCTCAAACCATCTACTCTGTCTTCGCCCGTAAGTGTCTTCTATATTCCTATGTTGTATCGGTAGTTTTGTACCTAGTTTTGATTCACTTATGCTCATTATTTGTATTTTTAATTAAAACTGCTTCTGCTCCTTCAGGGTGAAGGAGTAGAAGCAGATATTGGGGTGTTTGGGGGAAAGTGCAGAAGTACTTCTGAGGACTCCGAAATGCTCCAGAAGCAGTTTTTTAGAAGCTAGGGGAGACCAGCTTTTGAAAACTAATTCTAATTTTACTTCTGCTTTTAAAAAAGAATCAGAAGCAGAATCAAAACCCTTATAAGTAGCAAAAGTGCCTTTGGGGTTGTGTTTGTGATTGAGAAAGCTCCTTTTTGCATTAAAACAATCCCAAATAAATTTTAGTTTTGAAAACACTAAAGCTCATCGTAATGCAAAAGTCAGTTTAGAATGGGTTTGGCATATAGAGAATATTATTTGACTATAAGATTTTTTTTCTTTTTTACATTTAAATCTTGCATACTCCGTAGCATTTTCTAACCTCAAAACCAAAGATTCCATCATTTGCAATGGAGCCAAAGATTCACTATTATTTGGCTTGAGAATAGGATAGAATAAAGCAAAATGGCTCACTAAACTGTCTGCGCTTCTTTATTGTGAAGCAACGGTCAGTCCGTGTATTTTTCGTACATCCGACCCCCCCTACCCCACCGTAGGTGAGAGCCTTTGCGGCATTGGGGTAATGATGATGATGATGATGATGATGATGATGATGAAAACCAAGCACAACTTTCAAAACTCAAAAGAACTCTCTTACTACAATTCTTAGAAGTGTTTTTCCAATGCGTAACCTTTTCATTTTGCATCATCAATAGCAAGTCAGTCCAAAACAGTGCTTTAGCTTCACCATTAACATCTATATAATTCCAAGCTTAATTACTTAGTGCATCCCTGCACTGACGCCCATAACATGGTTTTTGTGATCTCTAATACCCTTTTTTGTAAAATAGAATCATTTGCATTTTCTTTTGTGTTGGAAAACTAATGCTTTAAATGTGGAATCATCTAGGCTTCCGCTTCAGAAAGTCAAGGCTCTCAGGAGAGATCTGATCCAGAGGTAGTAGCCGACTAGCCGTTCGTTCTTTTCTTTCTTTCATGTATCCAATCATTGTATAATTTAGTACTCTTACACCATCATCTGCTAGCCATTCAACAATTCCTGCAGATTTAAACGTAAAAAGGGGAGAGAGGCTTTGTTGACGAATGAGAAAAGTAATGATTGCCTTTCAGATGCTAGTGTTGGAGCTGCTAAAGAAGATGGAGTTGTAAGGGCTGCATAAATTTGGTGTTTTCTTGGATTTCTTTGCTTAGGATTTGTTTTTTCATGGAAATGAAGTCGTTATGTATTCTTGAATTGGTGACTTTTACTTTTTAGGATGATCATTTATTTCTCCTCCAGAGTGAGAGGTCAATTGTAGAGGAAGGACTTAAGAGGGAATCAGATGATTTGTTAGCTATGGTATCCAGTTTTTCTTTTTGTTTTTTAGAATTATAGTCATAATCACACATGGCCAGCCAAGTGCTATTTGACTATTTTTAATCATTCAGGAATTTTCATTGTCGATTTAGATGTTTCTTTTTTGTAGCTTAGCCACATGGAGCAGGAACTAGAAGAACTACTTGATGCTGTGACGTCGAAGTGCAGGTAATGGATTTCGACTGATATTGCTCTCAAGTTATAGTTAAGAACATATTTGGCTTCCTGCCATAGGGTGTAAGGCTCAAATCTTACCAAGGTGGAGTTTGGATTCACCATGCTTTGGGATCTAGTCGACCACTTAGGCATATCCCACGACTGACCCATCTGCCAAGTCTCTAGGATAAGGTGCGCTGACCCTCGGGACTGTAGTGCAATCTGTTTCACATGAGCCTTTTTGGTGTGGGTGAATTAGCACTGAAATGGTTGAAGTTACTGAATTTGTTATAGTTAGCATGCTGTTTTAATAAAGGAAATAGTATAAAAATGAGGATAGTAGTTTATTTTCATTAATTCAGCCGTAAGTATACTGTTGTACCTTTTTTCCATTATCAACCAATTCAACCATAGAGTCAAATAGCTAGTATGTTTATAAAAGGCTGTAAGCAGAAATAAGAGGTCACCAATCAGGCACTCCTTTAGCTAGATCTGTCTTTGCCCTCCAATTCAAATCCCAGAGCAAGGTTTGGATATGGACCAAGCACCGGAGTGTTCTTTTTTATGCTTGTAATGTTTTATTATTACCTGGTCTTGAAAAGGACATTAATGCTTAATAAAATCATTATTAAGAGTTTCCTTTCGATCATCATCATCATCATCATTTTAATTTACCCCAGTGCCGCAAAGGCTCCCACCTACGGTGGGGTAAAGGGGGGTCGGATGTACGTAGTCTTATCCCTGTACTAAAGCACAGAGAGATTGTTTCCGGATGACCCATAGTGAAAATCCCGTCCAAAATTGCATGGACTGACTGCTGCTTCATAACAAAGAAGCGCAAACAGTTTAGTGAGCCATTTTGCTTTATTCCATCATTATCTCAAGCCAAAAAATAATGAATCTTTGGCTCCATTGCAAATGATGGAAAATAAGAGTTTCCTTTCTGATATATCCAAAAATAAAATCATTAAGTGTTGTGTACCAGCTAAGAAACCTTTGTTGCCATTGGCAGGTTAATGACCCTTCTAGAGAAACAACAGCTGCAAAGGATGATTAAAAATCTACCACCAAGAAATCTTGATGGTGTCCTGAAGATCATCCAGTGTCATAGGCAATCTGATACATTTTGTAGCAATCAGATACATATTGATTTAGAAAAAGAGGTAAACCAGATTTGTGCTACAAGGATTCTTGGTTTGTCCCATGGCGTACAACTGTACACACTCTATGAAATTCGTTTACTATAGCCTCATCTCACAATGTTGTTCATTCATGAGGAAGTCAACTATGAGGCCCCATGAGGACATTACGGCATAAAAAATAAAAATAAAACACTCCAGCATTTTTATTGAAATTAGAAACTGATGTGCATGGTACTTATATTATTGGAGTTTAGGGCTTATCTCTTCATTTGGGATTCATTGCAGGACAATATAACACTATGGCGATTGTATTTTTATGTTGAAGCTGTTGAAAATGCCAAGAAGCTCTGTAGCGCTCGATAACCATCATGGTCAAAAAAGTCGAGAAGAAACAAGTGCTACTGGTCCGATGCTGCTGCTTTATCTCCCAGATCACCAAGGTTCACAAATTTCGAAGGTTGTCTAATCCCCTAGGCAGGCTTTTTCTTGGGTCTTCAATGTCCTTGTGACCATATTTCTTGCAACTGTAGTGTGTTTTCTAATTTATTTAGATCCGTTGCTGAAAGTATTCAGTAGGAATATACCTGGTCTTGGAAGTTGAGACCAGATTGCGACCAGTTAGTTTTTGACCAAATCTTTTCTACGTTTCCAAAACCAGTACCAGTCCAAATCCAACCCTGTTCCTCTTAAATAGGACTTGATTCTTGATATTTGTTTTTTAGGGACTTTAGTTGGGGATATCTTTTGATGTCACTCCCGCTATCACAAACAAACAAACCATTTTTGCTTGTTCTATGCAAATAGTAAAATTTCTTTACTGGATATGCATTTACTTTTCCATTTTTCAAAATTACACCTACTCAACCTTCACTTTAAAAAATCAAGATAACTAGGAAACTGTAATACCCTTAAATTCTGCACCTGAAAATACTTTTAAGTAATGATTTGTTCAAATGAAATATTGAACTTTATTTGAAACGTTAGAATTGTGCAGCAGAACAAGCATAGATCATTCAAATGAAATATCAAAAGGAATAAGGGGCATTATTGTCACATTCAATTGACATATAATTGAGTGCACAAACTAATTATCATAAATACAATTTCACAAATTGAATATAACTAAATTTCTCATAAACGATTGTTCAACTAAAAATCTAAAACTGAAGTGAATTAATCATTCAACATTCATCTAGGTGATGTAGCGGAAGCTCTTGAAATCACATCAAGTATAGATCTTCACTTGTACAAAACCAAGTACATAAATAAAACACATGATTTTTTTTAGTGAAAATGTTAAATAAGGTCTTCTCAACCCCTTCAAATAATATAAATTGATATATATAATTTTTTAAAATATATTGTAGTTTAAAGCTTCTCAAAATACTTTAGTGCTCTCAAATACTCCCTCCTTTTCTGAAACAAGTTCCACCTTTCCTTTTCAGGCAGATTCAAAATTAAGTTCCACTTTCAAACATTTCCTTATTATCTGCATCAAAACAGTGTCAAACAGTGTTCAAACAGTGCCAAACAGTGCACTCCACAGTAAAATCAAATTTATTTTCTTAATATGTGTGAAGTCAATTGTGGAACTTGTTTTGGAATCGGAGGGAGTATTATTTATAAACTGAACTGGGATTTGTAAAGATTTTTTTTATCTCATATCACTTCACATTTTCACACATACAAGTAAAATGTAATATTTTATAATGTTTAAAATTTCATCTCATATCATTTCCACCACACAATTCTAATGTTTCTAATAATGTTTAGTATTTCATATGAATAAATCATTATTTAAAACTAGAGAAAAGGGTCGAATAAGGCTTTCTACTATTACAGAATGAACACATAAGGTCATGGATTCAATAAAGTGTCATATAAATAAGTCTGCTTATAAAAAGCATTTAGATGAGTCAAAACTATCCGTTGAAAACCTCCTAATCCCGATTTTAACTTTTATGTCGTTATTTTTGCCTTGTATTTAAGTCAATCCTGACCAAATATTTCACGCCAGCTTTATAATCTATTTTAAAAAGATAGTGGGACGTATGCTAAACCGAGATTACGAGGTTGCCAACATGTCATTAAGACTCACCCGATTGCTCTTTATAAGTAGACGTATTTGTATGACATTTTAGTGAGAACATAGCTTTATGTGACGATTTCATAATAGTAGGTCTTATTTGATCTTTTTTCTTAAAACTATTTTTGGGAAGAGAATTTGGAGGTGTTACAGTTCCCTAATTATCTTGATTTTTTATGAAGATTGATGTGTATTTTTTATCAGATAGACTATGTATGATTTAATTTTATATTATATTTTTTATTTTTAGGGTATCACAGAAGCAAATTGGAATTGGCTATTGATGCCAAAGGTAAAAATAAGAGCTTGAATTAAAACAAGGAATATTAGCTTATTTTATCTCAAGCTATCATCAAATTCACAAATTTGTCCTATTCTTTTTACTTTTACCAAAAAAAGACTCAAACGTACTTTATATTTTTTAGGGGTGGACTCGGGTCCGGGCCGGGTTCGGGTCGGGTCCGAGTCAGGCCTAGGCCCGGGCGGGCCGGCGGTTCAGGAATGGTGGACCCGGGACCGGCCCAGGTAGCCACCGGGTCAGGTCCGGGCCGGGCCGGGCCTCCTGTTTGGTTTTTTTTTTTGCTTTCCTACCCCCCCCCCACCCCCCACCCTCCCAACCCCCCCCCCCCCCCCAACCCATCCTACCCATCAAGCCCAACCCGAGTGGAACCCCAAAAATGAAAAAAAAAAAAAATCAATTTTGCCCGAGGCCGGTTCACCAAATTTGAGACCCGAGCCCGGACCCGCCCTACCCCAGGCCTAGGCCCGACCCGGACCCGGACCCGAGAACCGGGCCAGTCCCGGTCCCGCACAGTAGCGGGCCGGGTGGCCCGACCCGAGTCCAACCATAATCTTTTTCAACAGTTTGCTTTTCTTTTTGGTTTTTTTTAAATTACATATGTTTATCAATACCAATAAGATATAAGCAATACAAGATTGTAAACTTAAAACTAGAAAGAAGTGAAAAAATATGAAATATAAATGCAAATTTGTTCTTAAGTTTTATTATTTGAAATTGAAATTGTGAAAAAAATTGAAGTTTGAATCTTTTTTTTAATAAAAATGAAAGCATTGAATAAATTTGTGAATTTGATAATAGTTGAGGATATATTTAGGTAATGATCCTTAAAACAATTGTTACGTGCTCAATAACTACTTTGCAATCCGTATCTAGAAGTTCAAAGAAATTTAGAAAAGGTTCATGCAATGGAACAATGTTATCATTCTATTGGGAGGAAAATCACATCTATCATGCATAGCAGCATAGTTGTGGACCCAGTCCAACTCCAATTTCTCTTGAGGTAGGATCGTGATCCATATAAGCATAACAGTTTATATTTCTAATTTGGAATCGTAAAACAGTTTGATCTAAGGTCCAAAGTCCAAACTAGGGTTGGACTCGGGCCGGGTGGCCCGACCCGGAACCGGCCCGGGACCGGTACTGTTCCGGCCCGGCCCGAACCGGTGGCCCGGTCAGTGACCGGTCCGGGTAGGCCCGACCCGGTGGGTTTCCGGTCCGGGCTCGGGTCACCCATAACAAGGCCCGGCCCGGGCCCGGTTCGGACCAAATTTATTTATTTTTTTGGTTTTTTTCATTTGTTTGGGCTCCACCGGGTTGGGCTTGATGTTTAGGAGGGGTTTGGGGGTGGGGGGTGAGGGGGGGGTCAGGGATGGGTAGCTAAGCAAAAAAAAAAAAATTAACCAAACCCGAGGCCCGGCCCGGACCCGGACCCGGTGGCTACCCGGGCCGGTCCCGGGTCCAGCTATATAGAACCGCCGGCCCGACCGGGCCTAGGCCCGGCCCGAGTCCAACCCTAGTCCAAACACCGGTCATTCGTGGTTTGTTGAGGACAGGAATTACCCTAATCATACATGGGCTTTAAAATTACTGATAACATTATCATTGCATTCAAATGAAATACAAAAATTCCTATTTCAATAAAAGTAGTGCAGCAATAATGAAGGTAAATGTGACCCAATGCTGAAGGTCTTTCGGAAAATTGACAATGGCTTATGAAGTTCTTTGAAACCTTTGCCTCAGATCATTATACATCTTCTCAACTTGCATCAATCGCGGGTCATCTTTTGGAATGTCACGTGCCTGGATTTTTCAAGATCAATTAGAAAGGGCCTTTCCAATATAACTTAGAGAGGTGATGAGGTTTTTCTGGTAAGGAAGATTGATTACCTTCAACCCATTGTAATATGCCTCAACAGCACGGAGCTGGAGTGTAGCATTGCGACCAACCATCATGTCCCATATTAAATTAGCAACAGTATATCCACCAGTCTGCAAGCAAGCAAGCAGATATCAGATTAACAAGATAACTCACATATATGTGTGTGTGAGTGTGTCTCGCTTCTGCTGCCTTCTCTCGTCACTCTACTCTTCACTCACATAAAAATGCAAACCGCCGTTCGATTTAGATTCGTTCGCATAACCACTCGAATCTTGATTTTATTGTGTACAGGTCTAACTCAGAGAAGGTAACACTGACTTGAAATCAGCAGATAAGCAGCCAGATATTCACCAAAGTTCATGCTCAATCTCCACATTTGTTGAGGTTATTGGCATTGCCGATTGTCCCAATCAATCTGTGTTGATATATGGACCAACTTTGGAGACACTCAATGCAGTTAGTTACAACCGTGTTTTTCAACTTGCCAATGGGGAAGATCTAATCAAGGTTTATGATAATGTACATCCATTCGCTTAGCACCTTATGAACAATGATAAATAAGAATAGCCAAATGGTGGTATTTGGAGTCTTAATGGTCTGTTTTGGTAAAGGCACTAATCGATGAGTATCATTCTGCTAGCATTGTTACATAATTTGTTCGTATATTCCGTACAGCTAAAAGTGTGTATGTGTGTATAGGGGTTGGTTGACTTGGTTGTAGTACATACAGTGCTTCTCGTGCAATTGCGCACAGAACAGTTTTTCCTGTTTCTGATGCACTTTCAAGTGTAAAATGATGCACTTTTCAGTAGTGGATAATTTTGATTTATTTCTCAAAATGTTACCACATTTCAACCAAGTCATGCACTGTTGCCACATTTAAGAACTTAGAAGTTAGATCCTCAATCTGGTGCTCCAAATTAATTTTTACTTTGCATGGGAATATGACTTTTTTGGCTTGAGATTACGATGTAATAAAGCAAAATGGCTCACTAAACTGTATGTGCTTCTTTGTTATGGAGCAGCAGTCAGTCCATGCAATTTTGGACACGATTTTCATTATGGGTCATCCGGAAACAGTCTCTTTGTGCTTTAGTACAGGGGTAAGACTGCGTACATCCGACCCCCCTTACCCCACCGTAGGTGGGAGCCTTTGCGGCACTGGGGTAAATGAAAATGAAATGAAATGGGAATATGACTTTTTATTTGACCTAAAACATACAAACTACAACATTTAAATTTATTTAGGGTACAGCTATTGCAAATAATCAAACTCTGGTTATACTTTTAAGTTTATTTGTTGGTTTCACTAAGTTTAAGATACTTAATTTGTTGACAACACTTTAGAAAAAGAAAAATATAAATGCATTGAAAATTAGCTTCATTTGTTCAAATATAATTCTTTTTTGGACATAGGTTTTGAAAAAAGGCGCACTTTTTAGGAGTAAGGTAGTACTAATCTAACCTTTTCACCAGCAGCTGCAAGGAGGAGATCGTTTCCCATCTTTACGCTCAGGATAAAATTCCTCTCGTTGAAGGTTAACTAAAAGAAGAAAACATACATTTGCACAAAAACAACAGTAAGTGTAAAATAAATAAATAATTAGATAATCACTGCCTAATTTACATGTTCCATCTAGGGACGTATACAATAAATGTACACAAAAAATCTGCATCTAGAACTATTTCACAACATACCAGTGTCTCTTGAGCAATTTGCATTCCCCTGGTAGTATGACCCACCATTGCTCCTTCTATTAGGGTCTTCCAAACAGAAAATGTTAATTAGTTAGCTACATCTGCTGGGGAATATCCAACAACGACTTCCAAGCCAAATTCCCAAATGTGTTTGGGGTCATGTAACATGAATCAGACATGATTATCATAAAAATTACAGCTCTTATAAAGATTACCATAAAAAGTTCTATAATGCCAGCTCTTCCAGAGTTCACGTAGTCCTGAAAAATCTTAAGACCACGATCTAAGTCCCCAGAATGTAGATAACACCTACACGGAAAAGAAAGATGCAGCTTTTATAACAAATTTAAGACTCTTTAGTTGTTTAGTATAGTACACATATTCATATTTGAAATACTTTTTCCATTCCAAAATAGCATAAGCTCATGAATACATTTCAAACATTATACGAGCCAGTAGCCAATTTAAAGTTTGGATTTGACATGCAGAACACTGCACCACTCTTCCCAATGAAAAGTAGGTAGTTGGAAGTCAATAATCTAAATATAATACAGTGTCCCACTTGAATCTTTACTATTACTATCCATACGGTCAACTGAACTTCAGCTTAAGGTCTAATTCTATATATCATTTTTTATCATATTTGAATTCTATTTTTGAGACTTTGTAGGACTTTAATGTAGTTTATACAACACCTAAGCCTTATTTCCAAAAGATTTTGGGGTCAGCTAACATGACTCGATCCATGATATCAAAGCCAAAAAGAAAAGAAAGATAAGAAAAATATAAGGTATCGTAATGTAGTTTATAACTATGTAAATTTTAATTATTAACATCAATCCAAAATTTGTCAGGGATGGATTTGCTTTATGGCCAGTCAAGCATCGTAAACTGAAACGTCAAGAATCAAGTGGGACAAAGGTAGTATAAGACAATATAAAGCTAAGAATCCTAAGATACTATCGATATAAAGAAAATATCTAATCTGACGCGTTTGATGAAATTTGATGAGGCTAACTGTGGTTTGTGGCCAAAATTTATCTTATGGTCCAGATTATTTCGCTCAAGGATATCAAGCATTAATTACAACCATCAATCATGTAAACAACTCCATTTCACCTATGATAAACAATGGAAAGTCAATTTCTAATGATGAACTACCCTTAACTGTTAGATCACTTTAATAAACAGAGAGAGTTTTTACCGTCTCCAAAATTTGAATGTTCATAATTGTGTGATTCCTTTAAGCCTTGAGACCGCCTCATTGGTATTCGGTGCAAAGATGCACTAACACGACTCCTAAATTAGGCAATGCAGAGACTTATGCATTTCGGGCTGAAGCGTACACAAATCATAACACATATCCAGCTACACTCATCTTTTGAATGTGACATTTTTCACCACTGAATACTATATGTCATACAATAATGCAAGCCTAATTGTTGTTCGATAAAATTTACTCTTCAACCTAGTTGACATACCTCAACCACATAGAGATGTTGATGCATTGTTCTTTATCAACCACCCCTTTTTGATTCTATGGGATACATCTCCATCTAGTTCAGTCTTTGTGAGTTATGGAGCTCATGTAACGGAACATGTAACTAACCGGGAATCCAATATCTTCTTGTAATCCAAGGTAATCATATTATTACCACTGTTTCTAACCCCATTAAATTTGAACTCCATATACTCAGTCTTGTTTGAACCCCTTTTGAATTCCAAAATCTTTTGGGATTAAGGCTTGGATGTTGTTGTTGTATACTCAGTCTTGTTACAACTCATCCTAAAACCCTTGCTCAGTTGCTCTTCAAGGTTTGTCGCCGTATTTCCAACTTCGCTTTAACATCTTATCTTGTTCATGAATCAACACAATATTGATAGGGATCCGGCTGGTCTAACTAATGAGAATAGATACTATGGGAGAGTATATTCTAGAAGGCCCAAATAGACTAGCTTGTTATTAGTTATTGGCTGTTAGTAACTAATAACCACCTTCTGTTTTTAGAAGACTATAAATAGAATAAAGCCGCTGAGGGAAGGCAGGCTGTTTAGACTTGAGTCTGGGACTGGGAAGTTGGAGTTTTACCTCCTTCTTTGGGACTCTGTAATACGTTCATGTTGTTAATGCAATTCAGTTACTTTTACATCTATTATTCGTATTTCTGGTGATTTCCTACTGTGATTGGAGAGGTCTTATCATTGGTATCAGAGCCAGTCGATCGCTGGATGAGATATACGCGCGCCAAAATGGAAGGGAGGGTCAACGATGTGGAACGAAACCAGCGTGATATGCAGGCGAGTATGGACAATTTGGTGGCAATGCAATCAGCGATTCAGGCTAGCATTGCAGAATTACAGGTTCAGATCCATCATCGATCCAGGAGCAATTCGCAGAGGTCGAACAACTCTCATCGAACAGCTCAGCACAGGCATTCGAGGAATGATGATTCCTCAGGCAACTCGGATAATCAAACGAATCATACAGGTTCACGAGCTGAGTATGAACCGGGCCGGAATCACAAAAACAATCCGAGTATGGGGAGGAAGATTGATCTGTCGGTTTTCAGTGGTAAGGATGTTAACGGATGGCTAATGAAGATGAACCGGTATTTCCGGTTGAATAGAACGGCGGAAGGAGAGAAGTTAGATGTTGCAGTGATCGCCTTGGAAGATCAAGCTCTTAGCTGGTTCCAATGGTGGGAGAGACAAGCAATCATACTTGTCACGGCGGTAAGTCGAGTCGCGGCGCCGGCCAACTGCCATATCGCCTAGGCGATTAGGCGCCCACCTAGGCGACAATTAGGCGACTAGTCGCCTATATATTTATATATATATATATAATTATGTATATAATTATATATATAATCATACATATAATTAAACTATGCAAAATATATATCATACGTAGTATATATTAGTATGTACCAGTTTTTATGATTATTTTAACAGTTTATTATTTTATAATTTAGAACATATAATAAAATAGAAGTCTCACAGGTTGGGTATATCATTATATCATATTATATCTTGATTCTGTAATATAGAAGTGTATATATACACATATATTGATAGATAGATGAAAATACACCCTTTATATATATATATATATATATAAATACACAACTTAATTAATTAAAATAATAAAAAAATGAAGCCAAGAAGAAGAGATGGGGGACTGGGAACTAGGGAGTCGCCTGCTACTCTGCTTCCGCGAGCGAGGGACAAGGAGGGTCATACCTGCGACTTTGTCTTCTTCGTGGAGTTGTTCGTCTGCTTCCTACGACTCTACGAGGCTGCGACTTGGCTTGGCTATACGACTTTGGGCAACGAATCGTTGGTAAGGAAGATTACTATGGGCTTGCTTTTAATTAAAGCCTAAATCTATTTTTATTTTGGGTTCTGGGCCTGCGCCATAGCAGTCCGACTTTCCAAAAAGGCGAGGACTTCGACGCCAAAACAGCGCCTAGACGACGCCTAGACGACGCCATTCACGACTACTCTTCATCTGGCGAGGCGAGTGAAGCTGGCGAGCAGTCCCTAGCGCCAGGACGCCTAGTCGCCGACTAGGCGACGCCGTGACAAGCATGCAAGCAATACACTTAAATTGGAACGCATTTACTAATGCTTTGATTAGGAGATTTCAACCGGAAGTAGTCCAAGATCCTTTGGGATCTCTATTCAGTCTGAAGCAAAAAGGTTCTATAGCTGAGTATAGAAACCAATTTGAAACAGCCATTTCATCTCAGGGACATTTGTCTGAAGAAGTGCTGAAAGGAGTCTTCCTTAAGGGGCTGAAGAGGGATATAAGGGCAGAGTTGAAGCTGTATACTACCAGGACTCTAGCTGAGGTAATAGATACTGTGTCCTTGATTGAAAACAAGAACAATGAGGCTATGTTTGTGAAAAACAAAGAGGAAGGTAAGAAGAAGAGTCAGAACAAGGTGTTCAATCAATCTCAGGGACAAAACTGGAATGAAAACAGTAGGTGGAGGAGTTATCCTGGAAGTAATGCATCTAAGGTGATATTGGATGAGAAAATTAACAATGTAGGGAAGGAATGGAAGAAGCAGGGACCTAGATTGTCTCAGGAGGAACTGCTTGAGAGGAGTAAGAAAGGATTATGTTTTAAGTGTGGTGAGAATTGGGGAAGAGGACACATCTGCAGAATGAAAAATTACAAGATGATTTTGGTGGAAAATTCAGAGAGGGAAGAGATATCTGATGTGGAGTATATGGGATCAGAAGGGGATCAACCCAACCAGACAGTTCAGATGGACATGAATCATATGCAGCTGTCCATTTTGAGCAAGGAAGGCATTCCTTCTATGACTACTTTCAAGGTGAAGGGAAAAATACAATGGCAGGAGAGAGAGGTGGAAGTGACAATTCTCATTGACAGTGGGGCCACTCATAACTTCATGTCCAGGACTTTAGCAGAAAGGTGGAATATACCTTATAGTCCAATCAAGGGATATAAGGTACAAATAGGGAATGAAGACTGTATACCTAATGTGGGCAAATGTACTGAAGTTGGAATAAATGTACAAGGAGTGACAATTCATCAAACCTTCTATCTACTGGATCTAGGAGGTGTTGATTTAGTCCTTGGAATGGAATGGTTGACTGAACTGGGAGACATGGAGATAAATTTTAAGCAACAAATTATCAGATGGAGGAATAAGGGAGACACTTGCATCATCCAAGGCAATATGAATTCTAATCAGATGGAAGTTTCAATGAAGACTATGACCCAAATATTACATCAGGTGGGGGATGGCTACCTGTTATACTGTGAAGGACAGCAGGAGGAACAAGAACAGAAGTCAGAAATTGAAGGTGAATGGGAAATGTTGATTGCAGATTTTCCAGAAGTTTTCTCAGCTACACTGAAATTCCCACCTGCCAGGAATTGTGATCATGCAATTAATATCGAGGGGGCTAATATTCCAAATCTCAGACCTTACAGGTATTCATTTGATCAAAAGAATGAAATAGAGAAAATCATTGGAGAGATGCTGAAATCTGGAATTATTAAAAACAGTAATAGTCCTTACAGTAGTCCCATTTTATTGGCAAGGAAGAAAGATGGAGGTTGGAGGTTTTGTGGGGATTATAGGGCCCTTAATAGAGTGACTGTACCGGATAAGTTTCCCATACCTGTGATAGAGGAGCTTTTGGATGAATTAGGTGGTGCCAGAATATTTTCTAAGTTGGATCTTAAATCTGGGTACCATCAAACTAGAATGAAGACAGAGGATACTAATAAGACAGCTTTCCGGACTCATGAGGGACATTATGAGTATTTAGTCATGCCATTTGGGCTGACTAATGCTCCCTCAACCTTTCAGTCACTCATGAATGAGGTATTGAGACCTTTCTTAAGGAGATTTGCTTTGGTGTTCTTCGATGATATATTGGTTTAGAGCAAGACAAAAGAGGATCATAAAGAACATTTAAGACTGGTTTTGGAGGCTTTGCAGAAAAATCAGTTGGTAGCTAACTTGAAGAAATGTTCTTTTGGCCAAAGACAGTTGAGTTATTTGGGACATATCATTTCAGAGGAAGGAGTAGCTGCTGATCCTGAAAAGATTTTGGCTATGAAGAAGTGGAATATCCCTAAAGATCTGAAGGAATTGAGAGGATTTCTAGGTCTAACTGGGTATTACAGGAGGTTTGTGAGAGGTTACAGTAAGATTGCTGCTCCTCTCACCTTATTATTAAAGAAAGACAGTTTTAAATGGAATGAGATGGCTACCAAAGCTTTCCAAGAACTGAAGGATGTTATGGTTTCAGTACCAGTTCTAAAGGTGCCAGATTTCAATAAACTGTTTGTAGTTGAGACAGATGCTTCAGGAAAAGGGTTGGGGGCTGTACTTATGCAGGAGGGAGGTCCAATAGCCTACATGAGTAAACAATTGTCTCCCAAACACCTGAGCAAATCTGTGTATGAGAAGGAACTGATGGCTATTGTTTTTGCTATTCAGAAATGGAGACCCTATCTTTTGGGAAGACATTTTGAAGTACATACTGACCAAAAGAGTTTAAAATGTCTGACTGATCAGAAGGTGATGGGAGAAGATCAACGAAAATGGATAGCTAAGCTGATGGGGTACAATTTCACCATTAAATACAAACCAGGGGTTGAGAATAAAGCTGCTGATGCACTTTCCAGGAAGTCTAGTTATGCAGGTTTATCAACAGTATCTTGCCAGGAGTGGGAAGGTTTGGGGGATGAACTGGAGAAAGATCATAAATGGGGGAATGTTATTCAGAAAATCTTGACTCAGCCAGACCAATACCCAGATTACAAGATGAAAGGAGGGATACTATATTACCAAGGGAGGTTGATTTTGCCAAAGGGATCCCCTAGAATTCTGAGAATTCTCAGGGAATATCATGACTCTGCTGTGGGAGGACATTCAGGTTATTTCAGGACTCTGAAGAGGATTGCCAACTTATTTTTTTGGGTAGGCATGAGAGCTGACATCAAAGATTATATTCAGGGGTGTGAAACCTGCCAGAGGAATAAGTACCAAGCTCTGAAGCCTGCAGGGTTGTTACAACCCTTACCAATACCTGAACATGTGTGGAGGGATATCAGCATGGATTTCATTGGAGGACTACCAAAATCTCAAGGCAAGGATACTATTCTAGTGGTGGTGGACAGACTAACAAAGTTCTCACACTTCATACCTCTGGCACATCCTTTTAATGCCAAAGGAGTAGCTGAAATCTTTGTTCAGGAAGTAGTCAGGATACATGGATTTCCAAAATCAATTGTAAGTGATAGAGACAGTCTCTTCTTGAGCTCTTTTTGGTCAGAATTGTTCAGATTGGCTGGGACCAAGCTCAAATATAGCAGTGCATATCACCCACAGAGTGATGGGCAGACTGAAGTGGTCAATAGATGCTTAGAGACCTATTTGAGGTGTTTAAGTGGAAAGAAACCTAGACAATGGGTCAAGTGGCTCCCTTGGGCAGAATACTGGTTCAATACCAACTATCACAGTTCCTTAAAAAGTACCCCTTATCAGGCTTTGTTTGGGCAAAACCCACCTGCCATCATCAGGGGTGATGTCAGTTTGACATCAGTGGAAGAAGTGGCCAAGCTAACAGCTGAAAGGAACTGTATGTTGTCTGAATTGAAAGAAAATTTAGCCAGAGCACAGAATCTGATGAGGCAGCAAGCTGATAAACATAGAAGGGAAGAGGTGTTGGAAGTGGGAGACAAAGTTTTTCTAAAGATACAACCCTACAAGCTGAAAAGTTTGGCTAGAAGAATCAATCAAAAACTGAGTCCCAGATTTTATGGGCCCTATGAAATTTCAGAAAGAATAAGCCCTGTAGCTTACAGATTGAAGTTGCCTGAAGGAAGTAGAATACACCCTGTATTCCACATTTCCTTACTGAAGAAGGTGTTGAAACCCACAGTGTATTACCAAAACCTCCCAGATTGCCTCACAGAAGAATGTGAGTTGCAAGTGAGACCTGAAACTGTGAGAGACAGTAGGCTTAATCAGGAAGAAAGATGGAGATTCTAGTGCATTGGAAGGATCTTCCTGATTTCGAAGACTCATGGGAGGATGTTCAAATGATCCAGAATCAGTTTCCTGACCTCCAACTTGAAGACAAGTTGGTTTTGCAAGGAGGGGGTATTGATAGGGATCCGGCTGGTCTAACTAATGAGAATAGATACTATGGGAGAGTATATTCTAGAAGGCCCAAATAGACTAGCTTGTTATTAGTTATTGGCTGTTAGTAACTAATAACCACCTTCTGTTTTTAGAAGACTATAAATAGAATAAAGCCGCTGAGGGAAGGCAGGTTGTTTAGACTTGAGTCTGGGACTGGGAAGTTGGAGTTTTACCTCCTTCTTTGGGACTCTGTAATACGTTCATGTTGTTAATGCAATTCAGTTACTTTTACATCTATTATTCGTATTTCTGGTGATTTCCTACTGTGATTGGAGAGGTCTTATCAAATATCATCAGCAAACATTGCACCATGATCTATCTTCTTGAATTGATTTCGTGAGTTTAATGGTTTCTTGAATTGATGCACTTGTTACACAAGTTGACAGGTGGGGAGAAGAGGCAGGGAGGAGAGGGAGAGGAAGACCCAAACGGACTTGGATTAGAAGAATCAAAACTGATATGCTTTTTCTTGGGTTGGATGAGAGTATGACTTTGGAGAGAGCAAAGTGGAAGGCGCATATTCGTGTGGACGAATGATTTCTTTAATCTTCTTTATCTTTCTATGTTCTTATGTTATTTCTAACTTTTATCTTTCTTATCTTCTTCTATCTTTTATCTTTCTTATGTTCTTAAGTTATTTTATCTTATATTTATCTTTATCTTATCCATTATTTTATCTTACTTTATCTTTTTAATTTTCTTATCTTTCTTCTCTTTTTGGCCCCTGATATCATGGATTGATTCATGTTAGCTGACCCCAAAAGAAATATTTTTATTGTATTAGTTGTAATATTGTTAAATTTAAAATAAATCTGTATTTAAGAACTAAAGCTTATGCCTCATTGCATAATAGGGCTTACGCAATCCCTACAAACTGCCTTCACAATGTAATATTGTAATACCCAACTTTTAGCATTGACCGACTCTTCAAACAAATGGAAGATCTAACAGTTCAAATTAAAACTTGAAATTAATAAACAAAATAATATAAACCACTATGTGATCTTGTGGAAAAATAGATCTTCATCTGACCACATTGTTATAGGGCGCCTCTAAATTGAATTCTACCCAAACAACATATAACCACTCATAGAATTAGGTATTCGAATCTGTTTAACACATTGTTCAACAAAATGGATGGTTATAACTATTAGGATTTATATGTCAGTTGACCAACGATTCTAGATTAAAGTTATTATAATGAGAAATTTATCAGATCCGCTGAAAGCAGTACTGTTAGCTTCAGTTGCTCAAAACCAGTTCTTGACATATCCCTGCTTAATGTATTAAACTAAGGGGGTGTTTCAGAAACTGGTCTCCCTCAACTTCTAAATATATGCATCTACTCCCTGAAGAAGCAGTTTTAAGTAGATCCAAACACCTTCTAATGTGAAAACTCTAAGGTTGAAGTACATGAATTATTTGAGTAATACAAAAATATGTACCTCATGAGTTGCATCAGGATGAAAACATCAGGCGTTTTGCCATCCTTTTCAAGCATCATCAGAAGTGCATCAATAGCCTATAATGAGTAACGAACCCATCAATTGGTCATATAGGTTCTTTTTCTTTTGTGATATAACATAAAGAATAAATGCTTTTAAATGAAGGCAAAAGCATATAGCACTTCATCATGTAGCTAACGTACCTCCACATTTTTCATGTCAGCAAAAGCATGAAATGCAACATGGTAGACAGTTAACTGTGTGTTCAACATTCCCCGTCGATGAACATACTCAGCAGTAGGAATATTATAAAGTTCTTCTTCAGAACTGATTGTCATAAATCTCTGATGAATATCCCCTGGAGCTTCAACCTCTGACCAACTCTTTGACTGCTCAACAAGCTCAATGATCTTCTCCATCGAAGAAAAACAAACTGGTATAACTAAACTGTGTGAAACATTAAAAAAAAAACTTTAAGAATTTGCAACATTAGTTTCACGTTACTTTAGATGCAACATCATCGGCAAGAGGTTGCTGATTCTTGTGAGCTGCTATAAGTCCAGCATAACAGAATTTGTTCAAGCCCACGGAAGCCGCTGTCATATCTCGAACAATTGCATACCTGCAATATTAAGAATCTGAATGGTAAGGGTAAATTTGGCTGAAATCGTGGATGATATTGAATAAGTTGGTAACATTGCTGATTTAACTATATGAAAAAGTCAAATGATAATTTTGGCAAGTTCAGAAGACAGCATTTAAAGCCAAAAGAAGTACCTCAAATCCTACTTTTCATCATTAACCAATCCACTGCTTCAGTAAAATAAATTAGTGCTTGGTTAAAAATCTGGCAGATAAGCCAAAAGAGTGACTATCAAAAGACACTAACAAGATCAAATCGGATGTTAATGAACATAAATGTGTGTATGCTTCAGATTTATGTTCAGTTATAACTTTTGAATTGGCAAGATAACAACCAAAGATCAAAAGATGCAGACCACACCAAATACTACGGTACGTAATATGCATTCACGTAATGAAGCTAACGACAAGTTCAATTTATGAGTAGCCTTAAAAAATCATTGTTCATCAAGAAACAATGAAAAGGAAACCATTTGGTCATTTGCGTATTATTTAAGTGCATTACAAAAATTACCTAAATCCAGCTGTCAATGACAAGACTCTATCTAGCTAAATTTTATTTGCAATGCCTTAACCTCTAGTTGGTAAAAGGAAAACATTACAACACTAGGAATAAAATCTTACACTCGTTCTAATCGACCTTCAGCTGCACATGCATTAAGTAGACAAACATAGGTCTGTCCAGAAGGCTTGACTCCGTATCTCTTCATTTCTTCTAAAACCTACACTTCATAATAAAGAGAGAGGAAATAAACACTATGTATCACAGAATTACTGAAGTTAGAAATGCTTTGGTGATATGACATGATGTGTACACACCCGGATTGCTTGATCAGAGTTCTTGCATTTGCCGCATGTGGAGATCAAAAAGTTGTATAAAGTGACCTAGGGAATGAAGCAATGACTTTTTTAATAATAGACTTGTGAGTAAAAGATAGAAACCTGAGATATCACCACAAATACTAAATCTAAGTGAGAAAGAAAAGTTCTGTGCAAGTACAGTTCTAAATCTTCCCTTGTTGATGTTTATATCAGTACGTCCAAAAATGGAGTAATTGGTCGAAAAAACAAGACTCGTCAACAAAAATCAACAAATGAGGTGTACATACATCGGGAACCAAACCCGACGATTTCATTTCATCTCTGAAAAATAGCGAGTCCTGCAAGCGAGCGCCTTTCATAGTACCGACGATTAGTGAATGAAATGTGTCCCTCTCTAGCTTTACCCCATCCAGCACCATGTCATCATATACATCCCTTAACAAGTAATGTCTGCACATAACACATGAGCGCGCCTTTTAAATTTGCACCCAGGGATGCTGAAATAAACAACAACGAGAAGTGTATCCACCTTCGCTGAGCGGTGATAGAGTTAATAACAGTATTGTATTCGGACTCATTGTTGGCGTAATTTCGTTTACCGTACTCCTCCGTCGACGCAGAGAACAGCCTACGCTCTAAGGCTCGATGCAGCAAACGTTTGTTACCTAAAAAGAATGGAGTAAAGTGGTGAACTACAGTGAAGACAGCACTGAATGCGCGCGCTTTCTCTATGGCGCCGATAGACGGAGAAATTACCTAGGGTTTGGAGAAGCTTCATTATGACGACGACGACTTGTCACTGCGATTGCAGATTTTAACTCTTTAGATTTCTCAGGAAAAAGCCAACACAGATCAGGGTAGCGAGACTGAATCTTCTTTTGAAACTTAAAGAACATTTGTATTTAAGTTTAAAAAACTTAAACTTAAAGAAAAGTTTAATAATTTTAACTACTGTTACAGTGACACGTCATAGTTACACGCCATAGTGACATGCTACACAGTGACTTCAACCACCACCACACACCGGTGACCACCGCCGGCCGGAGATCGTCGCCGGAAGATCGACCCATAGTGACACGCAAAAGTGACGCCGCTACAGTGATGCCGCCAAAGTGACACTGCCACACAGATTTTTCAGTGACGTCGCCATAGTGACGTCACCACAGTGACGCTGCTACAGTGATGTCGCCGTAGTGACACCGCCACACGAATTTTTTAGTGACGCCGCCACCACCCTCATCAATGTGTGACCGCCTGTGACACTCCAAAAATTTAAATAAAAATAAAAATAAAATTTATTAGTCAGATAAATCAGATAAAATGTTACGGAAATAATATTTTAATTTTTAAGTAAGTCAAACAAAAAATTAACAGTTGTGACATTCTAACCAGATAAAAATTTCCAAGCTTACGACGTTTTAGTCAGATAAAAATGGTCCGATAATAGATGCAACGTATAAAAATAATTTTATGTATAATTTTTTTAAGTTAAAATAATACGGAGGGACTGTACAATAATACGTAGTATAATTTATTAAACCTAAACTACCTACGTACGTATAAATTTTTATACGTATATATTAGCAAACAAAAAAAATCCTAATCAAACTAAACTACCTACATAGGTACGTAATACTAGTATATAGAAGATATACTTCTAATATATATATATAATTACGTACGTAATACTAAATATACTCCTAATACTCCTAAGGGTGCAAAAGAATCAAAATTTAACTCTAACTCTAACACAGCCTAAACCCTCATCTTTCCCTATAAATAGCAAGCCAAACCTACGATTTTATTCATTCAGACCTGCGAAAAATACATACATATATACATATATATATATATATATCTATATATATCGACAATTCGTTTTAGCTAGAACCAAGCCCTGAAAACACTCTAGAAACCTTCCCCTTCGTGAGACGAATCCAACGGTGAAAGAATCGTAGAAAACGGTCGTGAAACGAGAGAGATATCACTCGCCGGAGTTGCAAGTTGTGGAAGCGGGTCTTTATAAAAAGCAGATATTTTGCCGTACATAGGGGTGGAGGAGCTTCGTCTCGCCGCAAGGATCATTTTGCAACTTGAATCGTCGAAATCCGTTATCTGTAAGTCAAGTTATAGCTCGCCGGAGTTTTCTAGTTTCCGGCGAAGTCGCCGGAATCGACCTGGAGAAGATGACCCAGTTGTCTGGGTCAGAACTCTTGGGCCGGGTCGGTTTAATGGGCCAGTTCGGCCCAGTTTTAATAAAAATTAAAAATAAAATAGTAAATCAAATAAATAAAATCTGGAAAAATATAAATTAAATACCTAGTATAAATATACATATTCGGACCAACCAGAATTGAAAACTAATATTTTTAGCTATATTTAATTGATTTAATTGTAATTGGGCCAATTTTTACACATTTAGTAAATAATTAACTAAATAACGAAAATAATTATGAAATAAATATTGGAGTAAACTAGGATAAATATATGACTAACTAGGACCTTATGGACCATTTATAATTAATAAATATTAAGATTTAGTATATTTAATTGTAATTGAACCGGTTAATAGATATATGAAATTAAATGAATAATTATGGAAATAATTATAAAATAGATATCTGGACAACCTAGGTCAAATATAGACCCAAAATATAGTTATAGACGGATTTTAATTTATAAAGTCGATTCTTAGTCTATTTAATTTAATTGGGCCATATAAGACTAGTTAAGTAATTAAATAAGGAAATATTAATATTAATGATGAAATAAATAAATCACTGAGGTTGAAAAATAATAGTCTGGACTAAAAATGATGTTAGAATAAAATAAGAAAAATAAAATAAGGTTGGGTTAGCTAGCATAAATAATTGATTATATATAGACTTAATAAATAACTTAATTATGTAATTAGTGGACTAATTCAATTAATAATTTTTATGATTAATTATTAAATATTTAAAATATTGGAACTCATAAATTGATGGGTTAATATAAATAAAGTAATTAAATAATATTTTATAAGTAGAGTAAATTAATGGTGATTATTGAATAAAAAAAATTAGATGTTGTAGTTAATTATATTCGGATATTTTATTTAATATTAGAATTAAAATATTGTAATTAATGACTGAATTAATAAGGTAATTTGATTAATATAAAGTGATTAACCAAAGTTAATGCGTATAATGAAATAAAAGGAGAAAATCGGGTAAAGTAATTTCAAATAGAATAAGTGACTAATTTATCATATTTAATTAAAAAGGTGATTATCTAGAGACCGGATTAGAGGAGGATAACTAGGAGCATCAGGACTTAAGGTAAGTTTCTCTGCCAATCCAAAATTGTTTCCTCATATTATATGTTTATTATGCATTATGTGATTAAGTGTGAATTTTGAATGTGTACTATTTGGGGTGACTAAGAATTTGAGAAATATTGAAGGTATATTTTGGGATTTAATCCCTAGTATGACTTTGGAGTGAATTTTTATGTAAAAGAATTTTGGAGTAGTTATGAATGTGAATTTTTTGTGGACGTATCTATTAAATAGATATTCTGTAAGACTATATATAGAGAGATGATTTTTCAAGGAATAATGTTTTTCAATAATTATTGACATCTCGAGAGAAACACGAGGTGTGGATGGTCAGAGTTATATGCCGCGGGTTTAGTTTAGGTTTATGATGATTATTGGTGGCGGGAGAAATCCCGGTAAATATTGGTGGCGGGAGATTCCCGGTATTTCTTTTGAGAACCTTAAAAGTTCTTTGGTGGCCGCGGTAGTGGTTTCTAATTACCCGGGTTTCTAACCCATTGTGAGGTAGGGGGACGTTGTCCGAACTACTTGGACTTCTTACTACTCGGAGGGCTTGGAATCCCTTTTAGGGGGTGTGCACACTTAAGGGTGAAGTTCAGTTTCCAATTGGTGGTCGGTGGGAGCCGGAATTCCGGGATGAGTCGTACACAACAACGATTCATTGGGCTCGAGGAATCTTGAGTTTCGCCCATCTTAAAAGAATCTGAAAGTGACATTGATTTCGGAATGGTGATATTTTTAGCTTCAAAAGTTATTTTTGAAAAGTGATACTTCTTTTGAGATATTAATTAATTGTTGGGAGCTTATAAATATTATTTTTAATTATAAGGGTATTTGAGATTGTTGATAAATAATGTTTTGAAAATAATTTCGGTGGTGTGAGTATTTTTATATATAGTATTATATGAAAAACTATTTTTGTCAAACTTGATTATTTTACGGGGTTGGGTAGTACTTACTTAGCTCTAAAGCTAATTTTTGTTTCCTTTTCTTTGTTTTGTTCTCTACACTTTATTTGTGCAGGTAATGATGAATATGAAGCTCATGATGTTTGACGAGTCTTGAGAGCGCTTTAGAAGATTTATGTGTAGCCTTCACTTAGTTTAAATAATGTTATTAAATTTTGAATTTAAGTTTTTAATTCGGTTGAACTCATGGTGGATAGCCTTAACATCCAGCCAAGTTGAGGGCTGGGTGTGGCGGTAACACACCCTTTTTCCATTACTGTCATTTCCGCTGCAAAACTCTATCTATTTTTAAGGAATAAATCAAGGTTGTTATCAATATATTATTATTTCAAGTATTATTTTGGGCGGGAAAAATGGGGGTGTTACAAATTGGTATCAGAGCCTTAGTTTTCCGAAGGGACTAGAACACGAGGTAATAGGTCGTAGGGAGAAATTCTGTCACAAAGACGATAACAGTCTAAGCTGGGTGGTGCATAATTGAGCCTTGCGCTCGTCCAACTAACTGGGAATTTCTCCTTGTGCTGAAACTTCGTTGTTCGAAATCTTTGTCGAAAACTATAGTTTCGATGCGGGGATTTTCAAAATGTTTTTGTAAAATTAGGAGAATGAATATACTAGGAAAAAGACCTTTTAGGACGCGGTGAGAGGGAGAAACCTTTGCGAAATTATTGAGTTATGAAATGCATGAAATTCGTGCTTATGTGAAGTATGGAGTAAGTAAGATCCTTTGTATGTGTTTATCTGTTTGAAGTTAGTAGAGAACTTGTATAACGTAGAAGCCTGATGCATGCCTTAGAACTTAGTACACGTTTTCTTTATTAAGAGTCATGCCGCCGAGAAGAGACACCCATGCAACCCCAACTGTCGACGAGCTGACCCAAACTGTCCAGCGAATGGCGCAGCTCATCGGATCAGCTCAACCCCAAAACCCTGGGATCGACTACGCAACAAGGGTAGCCGGACGGAACCCTCCAAAATACTTGGGCGAGGAGGACCACCTTGTCTTGGAGGACTGGATCCGCACTTTTGACAAGCTCTTTGATTCACTGAATTGCCCGTTGGAGCAACGGGTGAATATTGCGGTGTATTATCTGCACCAAGAAGCGGACCACTGGTGGGCCGCCAATGGACCAGCACTTCTCGGGCAACCGGGCTTTGATTGGGAGGACTTCATAGTAGCGTTACGGGATCGCTTCTACCCAGATCACGTGAAGGAAGCAAATTATGAAGAATTTGTCAACTTTAAACAAGGTGACCTGACTGTTCAGGAGTACCACACGAAATTCGTTCAATTGGCACGTTTTGCCAAGGACCTGGTGTCGACAGAGGCCAGTATGACCCGCAGGTTTGTTAACGGGCTTAACTTCGGGGCCCAAAAGTTCGTGACGGTAGCAGAGCCGCGGAATTTGAATGAGGCTTATAGAAAGGCTGGTAAGTACTACCTGGTACACCAGAAGGAAAGGGAGGCACACAAAAGAGACCGAAAGAATGCGGAAGTGGAGCAGCAACAGAAGAAGGCCAAGATTGATCGCCCTGAGCAGCGCCAGAACAACCAAGGCGGAGGAAGATTCCAAGGT